GCACGAATACATCGATCATCAACAGTAATTCTTGCACAGAAACCACCCAAATTTATTCTTTATCATGAAATACTTAATATTAATGAAACAAATTATTTAACTGTTATTTGCCCAGTTGAACTTGATTGGTTAAATAAATCTTGGCTCGATTCATTACCACGTTCACCTTTACAATGTGTATTCGAAGGTTATACATTTATTAATCTTGGTCCAACACTTTTACTTTCACTCGTTGGAAAAAGATGTCATAAACTACCACAACTTGAAGAACAATTAAATGTATTATTTGAAGTCGATCGTATACAATCAAAATTAACAATATGGGGTCATAAAGATAAACTTGTCAATGCTCAACAATATCTTCAACAGATTTTAGATAAAGAACGAGAAAAATTACGTAATGAATTACAAGAATTTGAAATTATTGGTTCAACTAGAATCTTACTTGGTGCTGGTGCTGAACCTCGATTAGCCTTAATCGATGATGAATATATCAAAATATTTCTTACAAATCTACCGAAAAAAATTACTGAAGAACAAATTCAAAGAAAATGTGAACAATATGGACAAGGTAAACTAAATCATTTTTTCTCTAAATATATTTCACAAAAAATGTTGCTTCGTTCAATTTAATATTATAGTTCGAAATGTAACAATGATTCGAACAAATCAAAATAGTAGTTCAGCTTCTGTTACCTTCGTTGAATGTGACAATGCTCGAATGGCTGTTACTGAACTTGCACATCAAAAATGGGATGACTACGAAATATATGTCAGACCTAGTTACACTCGAACATCAATCGATACACGAAAACAAAATTACACATTGAAAGCTCAATGGTATATGACTGAATCAGAAGGTAATGGTCGTGTAGGATTTAATAAACCTCAAGCAGCACAACAGGCCTATCAATTGTTTTCAAAACGACATAATTTTAACTGTCAATTTGAATTAAATCCTGTTAGTCCAACAGTAAAATGTTCCTGGCCGTTGACGCCTCATCATGGTCATGCGATTATACATTTTGAATTAGTTGAACAAGCTCAAGAAGTAAGAATGAGAAAAATTTTACGGATAATTATTCCCATGATAAGCTGAAACAATATCATATTTGTTTATTTTTAATATTTTCTAGGCATTAGAAGCTCAGTATGAATATCCATTTCGAATTCAAGAAGGTCGACGATCAAATACGTCGATATATGTTCGAAATGTTCCTCGACATTTTGATGAAACTAATTTGAAAGCAATTTTTACTCAGTGTACTGATGTAATGATACTTCGAGCTCGACAAAATACTACGATGTCTACGCCGGTTGGAATGGAAAATATTGTTTGTGAATTATTCAATACATATTCATCATTTCAATCTCAATCAATTTTTATTGAACCAAATCTAAATGATGGTCATGTTATAGCCTATGTTCAGTTTACTGATGAACAAGAAATGCGAATAGCTGTGAATGATATAAGCAATAAAAATCTTTCGATGGGCTCAGGAAAATTACAAATTAAAATCCAACAACCACGACAATTAAAATTCACAACAAAAAGAAGTGAAATGAAAGAAGATGAATTTCGTATTAAATTTAGTAAATTACCAGCTCATGTCGATGAGAGATTTCTTCTACAAGAGCTCAATCAACATAATCTTAGTAATTCTATTACTTATGTAGCAGTATATCGTATAAAACTACCAGAAAGTTATTCATTCAATCGATCTAATATAATAATGACTGAAGATAATAAGAAAGCATTAATAAATCTTAAATCACTTTTTTCATCTCAAGATCATTTCTATTCTGAGCCAGAAATTGATATTCGTCCAGCTACGGAAGATGGTCGTGTCGCTGCATATATTCGTTTTCATGATCCTCGAGAAATCATAACAGCTATTGATATATGTGATTCATTAAATAATGATACCATTCGAAATATTGGTTTGAAATATCTTCATTTTATTCCTCTTATTTCTCATCGAATTGTCCTTCACGATACACTAGCACAAGCAATTAAAAATAAACTTGAACAAACTATAAAAACAATCCAAGATGATTCAAAGTTTTCAAATATAAATTTATTTAAAAAATCTAGTATGATAAATGATAAACCCAATGTTGTTATTTCTATTCGTGGAGAAAATATTCCTCAACTTTATAGAGCACGTATACTGTTTAATGATTTACTAAATGGTCTATTATTTCAACTTTATGATCATTCATGGGTAAGTTGAATGTAACTGAGAACTACAGCTCGATTAATTATTTTCTACTTGTTACTTAGGTTACAATGCTTTTTGATGCAACAGGACAAAAATTTCTTCGTGATCTTCAAAATCGTACTCGTACATATATTTGGTGGAATTGGAAATCAACATTTCTACGAATCTTTGGTGAAGATCAAGCATGTCAAGATGCACATAAACAAATAAATACTTTCATTCAAGAAACAATTTTACAACGTGAATATTCAATTACTATTCCTATTCCCAAAGGTCAGTAATAAATTTACGTTCAATTATTTCTATTTAATACTTTTATATATTAAAAGATTGTATTCGACAATGTATTCAAAATGCAAATTTATTTCGAGAATTAAACAATAAGCAAACAAAAGTTGTAATCAATATGATTAAACATTTTATTGTGGTTAATGGTGATCGTGAAATAGTAAATGAATGTGAACGTAAAGTGAACGACCTTCTGAATAAATTCGCACGTGTATCTAATCAATCAAATGAAAAAATGATGATAGATATGAAGAATACTTGTCCTATCTGTATGTGTGATTTTGATTCTCCTTATGCATTCCAACAATGTGGACATACATTCTGTCATTCATGTCTTACGGCTTATTTCGATACATATTTTGATGCTACTATGAGTTTTACTAGTTTTAAATTAACTTGTCCAATTCAAGAATGTAATGAAGTTTGTCTCATACGTGATATTGTTTCGATACTTAGCTTTGAACGAATGGCTCGTCTAGCAATGATTGCTTTTCAAATTTATATTCGTCGTAACGATAATAATCTAGTTCAATGTATGGGTATCGATTGTAAACAGGTTTGAAATGTTTATTACTGATCATTTAAGATATTAAATATAGACATAGTTTCTTTAGGTATATCGTCCATCGAAATATTCAACGATGTATTTTTGTGATCAATGTATAAAAGTCTATTGTACATCGTGTGAAGTTGAATATCATACTGGTATGACATGTGAGCAATATAAAAGATTACATGAAGAAAAAAATGAAGATGCTATTTTGGAATATAATCTTGGTAAATTATCTTACAAACCTTGTCCTAAATGTCGTACACCAATTGATAAATTTACTGGATGCAATGCTGTTAAATGTACAATATGTAATATTCAATTTTGTTGGCGTTGTTTAACAACCGATGAAACCGATAGTAAGTTTCATTGAAATAGAAAACTAATAGTTTTTCTTTTTTCTTTATTCTTTTATAGTTCATGAACACTTTACTAATCCAAGTTCATCATGCTATAATAAAATGTTGGATGGAGATGTAAATGACATGGAATTTATATAACAGTAAAATATGTCTTCTTCGTAATCAAGATTAAATTATTTATTCTTTCTTATTGTCTAACAATATTTAAATCAGCGAAAATTCATTATTTTTTTTCTTCTCTTGAACATTTATTCTTACTATATATTTGAAAGTTGTGAAGTATCTGTGATTAATTCGAATTTATTCAAAAAAAGACGATGTTTTAGTACGAATAATGTATATTTCTATACAATATCAAAAATAAACTTGTGTTTCATCTCATTGCTGATGTTAGTAACGATTTTATAAAATAAAAATATAAGATGTCTGATTTTTTTTTTCATACAACTGTAGAAAAAGACACCTATGAGTCGTTGGAGGAAAGAAAGAACACAATGGTAGCTGCGATGAATAAGCTGATTTATTGAATATTAACTGCGCAAAAATGCAAAACAAATATTGAAATCAATGAAGGATGTAAAATAACGAATTACTTCCTAGCAAACATTGTAGAGAAGATTATTTTGACAGAGAAATGTAAATATAAATTTGTGTTTTTGTTTTTTTTGATGAATAGATTGGTAGAAATTTTAAAAAAAATTGGAAACTCATTGTAAGTTCAAATCAATGAATTATTTACGTTTTATGAGTCATAAATATTTGGAATAATAATTGAGACAGTATTACTATTCTTTGCTCGTTCTGTTATTGACTTTCTCTACTCTTTCTTTATGGCTTTTTCGTTCTTCCGATAGAATTATTTTTTCTACATACATAAGAGACATAGTATGAATAAATACTAGTCATTTATTCTTTTTTCTCCAACATAAATTCACATATGAATAAAAGATCATTATCTCCACCACCATCTTACGCTTCTGTTGTCAATGGTAATTATCATGAGTATTGTTCATACTAATATTTGTATCGAAATTATTTAGAATTACGTGAAGAATATCAGCATAGTTTTGATGAACTTGTCAGACGCTTTAATAGTAAGTATTTCTTACAAACTACATGATATCAAATACATATCAATCCATGTAGTTAGTCCAATTTTTGCTGAAAAATTAAACAAATTGAAAGGTTATGAAATTGTTTTCATTTGCGATGATTCAGGTTCAATGAAAGCACCACTCGGTAAATTATTATTATTTCATATTTATATGTTGACTTCATAATTGTTCAGGTGATGTTACTAATCCACTTGGACCACAAAAAACACGCTGTAAGATTCAATATCATATGAGAATAGCGTATCAATGTTTATTTTTATTTTAGGGGATGAATTAAAGGAAACAGTATCGATTGTTGTCGATCTCGCTAGTGTTTTTGATCCAGATGGTATTGATGTCTATTTCCTCAATCGTGAATCAATGGTTAATGTACGCAAATCATCAGAATTAGAAAATATCTTTGCTATGGAACCAGAAGGTACATAAAAAAAATTAAATTTTTTATCAATGACTTTTGTTTAAATAATATTTTAGGTTCAACGCCGATTGTTCCTGTTCTTCGACAAGTACTTCGAGAGAAGCGTAATCAAATTTATGAACGTAAATTACTCATTATTATAGCTACTGATGGTGTACCAACAGATGAACGAGAACGTCCAGATAGTCATACATTAGAACATGTTCTTAAAAATGAACGTCAACCCATCGATCGAATACCAGTTACGATCGTTGCGTGTACAGGTTAGTTGAAAACAATTTTTTCGATAATAGTCTGGTCGTTATATTGTTATTTGTTTTAGATGATGATACATGTATGGAATATTTGAATGATTGGGATGAAAAAATTCCAAACCTCGATGTTATTGACGATTATGAAAGTGAAAAGAAAGAAATTCAGAAATGTCAAGGCAAAGATTTTCCATTTGGTTTTGGTGATGTAAGTTCTATCCAGTGTTAGATTACTATTCATTGTCTTTTTTTTATTTATAGTACATAGTCAAAATTCTTATGGGTGGTATTGATAGTTGGATTGATAATTTAGATGAAAAGAAAGTGACTGTAGATAATCAAACACAGTCTAATAGAATGACATATAATTTTTCTGAAGGTGCTTCACCCTCGAACTATAGATAATATTCAAATACTTAAGAATATCGACGAAGTTAAAGTATATTGTTATCTATTAAAATGACATATTTTTCTTTTTTATGTCTTTTTAAATAAATCATGTATATATTGTTGTTATTTTCAAGCGATTTTATAACTGGATCAAAAACTATTTGGTATAGATCCACCTGATTTATCGTCATTTGTCTTTCATATCCATGTTGCAGGATCAATAATAATTATTAATTCTTTTCCATTCATCTTATTTACATAGATATGGTGTGTCACTTTTATTTGTTGTTTGTGCAAGTACATAATGAAATTCTCGTGTATGTAATACATGATTCTTAATTCAATGAATTGAGTTTTGCATGATCTATTCGTTTTCGATTTACTACTTACGTTAGACTTCTTTTTTAATTTATCAAGCTTTTTATATGAGTAATTATCAAACAATTACTCACATCCTCAAGATGGTTTTTTCTTGGATATGGCAAAAGATCTTTTACAAGTGAAAGAAAATTTTCAACTGGTTTAAATTTATATGATATTGTTATTGGTGATTTTAATAATGATAATCGAAAAGATATTGTTGTGACAAATAGTAAGAATAATGATTTTAGTATTTATCTTAGTTTATGTAAGAGAAATTGTCTAAAATAAGTATAAGATATTTATCTGATATTGAACTATATGATATTATCATTAATAACTTTCATAGTGACGAAAGAAATGTTTTTGTGGTTATTAATTGATAAAATCTATGTCAATCAAAAAAATATTATTTTATTTTATTTATTGTAAGTATTACATATAAATTTTTGTTAGTATTTGTATTATTAATAAAAGGTTAGTAAATATTCAAATAGATTTATAAGAGATAATTTCAAATTCTTCTCTTCATAAAAAAATGTTAGTTATGTTTTTAGGGTTCTGGTATTACATATAATTAATCAATAAAAAAAGAAACAAACAAAACGATTTGAATTGATCAATTAAAGTCAAAAGAGATATATATTAACACATTTTGACTAAAGTCTGTATATGATCTGCATTATAACTTGCTATAACAATATCCATCCATTTGTCTTGATTTAAATTAGTAATAGCAAGTGAATAAGGAAGATAATTATAACCTAAAGGATATGATGTTGCATTTGTAAAGGTTCCGTTTCCACATCCATAAAGTAGAAGTATATTGTTAGTACCAGAATTAGTAATAGCAAGATCTAATTGATTATCATTATTTAAATTTCTAAGGGCAATAGTATATGGACGAGTTTCTTTGTTGAACATCAACGTAATAAAATATAAAATAAAACGCTCACTTTATTTGTGCGATATATTTTAACAATACCGTTACGATCGGATTTTTACTGAGAGGTACCGCTGTTCATGTGGTGCATTTTTTATAATAATATTTGTGATAATTGATTGGAGATTATAGTATATTATGAAATTGTATATACATAGTGCAGTCAAAAAGTTCTGTCACTTTCAAATATTTATTTATAGAAAAAACATTTTGGTGATCTTTTTATAGTAAATGCTCGAAGTAATCCCCATGATGTTCTATATAAAGTTTCATCCTTTCAATCCATTTCTAGAATGTCTTTTGGTAATCGTGAATAGGTACTGAAAGAAGCTCCCTGGATAAAACTTGTTGCATCTGGGCATGTATCAAGGCCACGTTTTAGATAATTGAACAGCCAAAAATCTGAAGGTACATGGTCAGGTGAATATAGTGGATGAGCCATAACTTTGATTTTTTCTTCTTGAAGATAATTAAAATGGAGAACAATATTTTCCATACGTACTACTGCATTTTTTTAATGTAAATTTATACTATCTTCTGTTGATAATGGTTTTTTCTTATGTAAATTTTTTACTGATATCTTCGAGTACCCACCACAACAAGTGATGTATTAACTGTGTCTAAGATGCCAGTAACATAATCAATAATAATATGTGGATCATCATTCACCAGGTCTTTAGCTCGATTAATATTTTGTTGAGTGATGCCGGATAACGGACGACCACTCCGGGGATTATCTTCCAAGGACTCTCGCTCATTTGAAAATCGTTGAATCCGCCGACTAACTGTACTATATGAAACTACATCTTGCCCTTAAAAAGCAGTTAATTCATTATGAATTTGTGTAGCTGTTAACCCTAATAATAAACGAGTTTTTATATACAAGCGAATGCACTGTTTTTCTACATGAAAATAGAGGTATTCAAAAAGTTCGTTGAAATTTTGCCATAATAAACGCTTGTGAAACTTCGTATTGGTATTTTAATATATAACAAATGTCACTACTAGAATATGTCAATATGGGGAATAAAAGCAATTAGGGCGAAATTTTAGAGAGCTGTTGCCAAAAATTTTTGACCACCCTATGTAGTTGTACCTCGTTGTTTAGAATGGCATGTATTTTACAAATAGTGGATAGGTTTACTGTTTATTACCTAATTGATTAACAGCAAGCAGAAGGTGTCTCTGGAAACAAGAAAATCGAGAAGAGAAATACTTTTTAACATATGATTTGCTAGAATAAAATCTTGAGATGTGAAATGTGATTTCGTGATGAGATCGGAATATCTTCGGATGTACGAATGAATGAGAGATAGAGAGTTATTAGCTGGCCGTCACGAGTAGGATCATGGGCAATCGATCTTTAACTACAGTTTAGTTTAGAATTCGTGAGCATGATTGATAAAAGAACCTGCGGGTTTATCTGAAATTCCTCGCGGTGACTGTTGAATTGTATGTTGGCATCGTAATAAAGTGAAAAATGCTGTATAAGTTTTACTCAATGTGCGTGTTTGCTAGAAAACTACGGAAACGTATTTTGAATCTAATTTAATGATTGTAGAGGGTGTGCGTGTGCATATTAAACTAATCAATAACACCTGCATCCTCTGGCTCTTGCTCGTTGTATCTAATCACTTATTGTAGGGTTTAAGGGTATATGTAGGTATAGGTCTGTGTATGGAGTATTACTAAGAATCCACACCCATACGCACCCTCATGCCCGTGCCGACATCATCAAGATACAGTCATAAGATTATATTTATATAGATATAAGGATATAAATATATATTTAATTGGAGGGCGTACTTTAGATTTAGACTATTGTTCTGCATGATTTTTTATGAATTATAATGGATTTCAATTAACTGATATGTCAGTTTATTCTAATGCGCGGAAATTTAAATTAATCACAATTACTTGAAAATGTTGCATTATCATGAAATTGCAGTCATTATTTTTCTATAGAAGTATAATGTATTACAATGCTCATTATTTCAAGAAACAGCTATATGAATGAAAACTGTAGTATATCACAAAGATTTTATTTTTTTCCAACATACGCTTTATACCTTTCGCCGAAATATTCACTTATTGCATCGACTTTTATTATTCAAAACACTCATTCTAACAATCCGAAACATGTTCTCTGTTGGTAAAAAAGAAACAGTGAAGTGCGTTATTTTATTAGATAGATGAAGTTTTATTGCATTCTTATCTTCATCACCGCTGTCGCCGAAATTCACCTTCAGAAACCGACGACATACTATTGGCTCATATAAACTTTTGACTTTTTGTTATTTATACGAAGCGCACTATGAGATATTTGTTTTGGAAAAACAGAAGAATTACATGCCTTTTGCCAAATTATTTTACTTTGTTTTTTCATAAGAACGTGACGAAATCAGTTTATTACGATTGCTATTTTTTTACAGAGTGTAGGTGGCTAGGTGGATATGGATCGGTATGTGTAGACAAGACTGTTGTATTGAAACATTTTTCTGACTCAGAAGCATTTTCACTACCCACCCACATCCTTACATATAAAGAGCATATACTTTTATCGTTCTTCACTGGATTGTATATAAAAGAGCAATATTTATCATAAATCTTTTCAGAACCTAAAGACAAAATAATAACTGAAAACGAATCTATCCATTTTATTCTATTGCTTCTGAGACAATGTCTAATAGAATAATTCCGGAATCGAATATAGTTTTACCATCAGAATGGAACAGTACGTACAACAATTTTCATCTTTTCCACATTACTCTTTTTAAATATAATATTTGATTCGATTTTTAGCCGGCTTATGTGATTGTTTTGATGACACCAACATCTGTCTGTATGGTCTTTTTTGTCCATGTTTTTTGTTTGGGAATAACGTTAAGAGAACACCAAGTATTACTACATGGAGATGTCCCTGCTTTTTATATGGATATAACATAATATGTTTAAATTGTTGGTATATTCATAAGCGGCAACGATTAAATATACGACTTGCTTATGGTCTTCCATCAGGATGTGGTGATTGTCCTACGGCAACATTTTGTGGACCATGTGCCTTATGTCAAGAAGCAAGAGAATTAAATATACGAGGTTTGTAAGATGTTTAGTCACCCTCGTTTGTTTGTTTATCTTCGAGTAAACTAACGTCTCAGTTTTTTTTTGAGAAACTTCAGTAAGAATAATCTCATTTCATTTTAAAAATAAAACACAACACGCGAGTGGAAGTTAGTAAATATAATCTATTCTTTTATTTTTTAACTTATAACTAAATTGGAAGATAATTATACAGTATAAACGGTGAATTTTTCTTCTTTTTGTTAGATGACATATTCTTAAATAAAAAATGTAAGTCTAGACGTAATTGTTCTCATACCTTTTCTAAGATAGACAAAGTGTACTAGTTCGCTTCCGTTAGAATGATCTACAACCCCAGCTTGGTGAGTGCACATGAAAGCAAACTCGATATGTAAAAGAGATTTTTTAACTGTATTGAAATTATACGTAAATGCCTATCGAATACGACGTAAGTAATTGCAACGAGGTCTAAGAACAAACAGCACAATCTTTGTATAAAACATATTTCTTGATCAATGAAACATTAACTGTTCTTATTTTTTGCTTTAGAAGAAGGAGAAAAGCGTGTTATACAACAACAACCACGATAAACAAGTCTTAATCATCTGTTGTTCAATGACATTAAAATACATGAACTTATTAATTATAAGAGTTTGAAGGAACAAAAGAAAAAGCAAAAATAAAATTTCAAATCTTCAGGATGTGAGTGTGGGTGTGGATGTGATCCTTAGCTGACATTTATTCGATTTCTATTGATTGACAAGGCAACCTTCCCTCATGAAATTTCGGAACAAATGAAGCTTAGATTTGAGTTCTTACAGCCCATCTTGAGGGTGTGGGTGTGGACGTGAGTATTATATCTATCGCACACCCACACCCACACCCACCCTCAAGATGATAGTCCATCAATCCTATTTCGAATCCAACTATACAGTTTTATTTAGATATTATTCATAAAGAATAATCATTATACTACTGAGTCCTTTCAGTTTGTTAATGAACAAATAAATAGAAATAATTTTATAGACAAGAGTGAATTATTTTTATTTAGTAATATTTCTTATTTCACTCTGTTAAATATAATATAAAGTAAAGAAAGGATAATTGTTTATTTTATCATACGAAGTTTGCTATTGGCTCAAATTTGTTGATTTGCTGGTTTTCATGACGACCACCGTTGAACCATTCATTGGCGTTACACGATTTTTTGACAGTATTCTATTTGCAGTCTTAGATATCAGACGAGATACTGGAATAAAAAATAATTTCATGAGAAGAAAGAATAAGCCAAAAACTTCTAAAACAACAATTGTGAAAAGAAGACTACGAAAAACAATTTCAGTTTGTCTGGCAATTGGTTGTTGTAAATTTCTAACATAGAATATATTCTCATCAATTATAACACTAATATTAGTTTGTGTTCGATAGAAGAATGTATATCGACTTTCATTAGTAAACAGTTCGTCAGAATTAACATTGAACGTGGATGACCAAATTGCACTGAATGTAGATGAACCATCATCAGTCAATGGATCAGTTTGATTGACAATTTGAGTTAATTCAATAGAAAATGTACTTGATTCAGCAAGAACCTCATCGGATGATGATGAAACATACGTTGATGCAAAATCGAGAGCCATCAATACAAACCTTTGAATTACAGAAAGAAAAACGACATTTTAATATTAATTATTAATAATATAACTATTTTTCTTCAATCGATTCATAAAAAAAATAACGCACACCTAAATATTAATTCTATTTCTTAAATTATTCATTATGAATTAGTTCAAAAACATTTTTCTGTGTAATTTATACCTTCCATCTTCAATTTCTGCTGATGGTCCACTAAGACCAAGTCGAATGGCTCCAATCGTTTTCAATCCTGGTAATACGAGTTGAACACTAATCTGGTGAACTGGAAGTAAAATGGCTAAACTTAATGTAGTTTCATTATACTTTGTTTGACAACTGGTAATTGGTATTATAGTAACTTTATTACCATTAAGACGTTGTACATAAAAATAATCTTCACAAGTAAACGATGTTTGAACAAGATCAATATTAAGTGTAAATAGTTGAGAATTAAGTAAATCAAATATATGTTGACTTTCTTTTGTAGAACGACGAGGATCCCATCTCTTTTGAGTTGTTGTCGTAAATTTTGCATTACGCAACGTGATATCACATGCAAATGTACTATTATTAGTAACATATTCAATTGGATATTGATGAAGATAAGCATTAGAAAAATAATATGCTGATACAACAAGAACAATTATTGCAGCTGAGATTAGACCACCGAACCACATCTAAATAGAATAGCATGTTTTATTTTTAACGGTGTTATATTAAAAATCAAAATCAAAGTTTTCTTCATGGATCTACTAAAAGCCTAAGTTATAAGAAATTGTTTAATAAATTCAATCTATATTCTTCTTCTTCTACAATCATAACATATACAAATAAAATACCTCTCCTTCACCAATGAGATCCATTTTTCTAAAAATTTTCTTGGCTCGATCTCGAATAAAGTGATGATCAGGACAATAAACTTCTGAAATTGATATGCTAATTGCAATAGTAAAGCCAATTATTATGAAAAATAATACCCAAGTAATTGGTGATACAACTAAACAATGAATTGATTTTGGATTGAAAATAAACATATTTTGTATAAGTAAATCATCAAAAACAATATTCTCAGGTGAATCAGGATACTCTTGATATTGTTCAATTGATTTAAATGCTGAATAGGAGACTTCACCAACAGCTCCATATGGACAGAAAAAATCTTCGGAACAATTAATTAATGATGACTGAGGATAACATAATTCAATTCCACTATAATTTCGACTAGTACCACGATTACAAGGTGCTGTACTTGTGACATCTATGGTTGTGTTTGTATTCGAATAAGTATTTGGAGATGCTACAAGAATACCAATTCCATTACCTAGACGATCTAGAAGACCTAAATGACCAATAGAAGAGCAGACGATACGAATAAAAGAAGGATCCGTAATTCGATGACGAATTTGTTGACTATTAGGATATATATAAATTGGCTGTATCAAATCAGAAAATCCATCTGATTGAATATCATAAATATGTACTGATGATGAAATCCATTGATAAGTTGAATAAGAATAAGTATTAACTAAAATGACTGCTTTATTACCATGCTTATCTAACCATGCTACACTTTTTCCATAGCCCATTAAATCAAGTCCATTCTGACGAGTACTAATTGGATTATGTGTATCATTCAATGAATACAAAAAAACTGTATTGAGAGATTGAATACCAATTAGTACATGTTGTGTTTGCCAACAAATACTCACTGACATAACTAATTGTGCAATATAAGTTCGACTTTGTGTGATCAAACGAATGGAACGTGGATCACTCCATGGATACTGTACAATATTGCTAATATCAAATTTATTTAGACTTATTGGACATGATAATGATGAATTTAATCGAATGATAAAACCACATTCAACTGCAGCTGTGGATGATGATTGACAATATCCAACTACAACGGCATACTCTTGATTTGAACCAATATCCATTGCTCGAGGAGAAATACCGAGATTGTTTAACCATACGATCAATTCAATCGTTGGATATACTTTATAAAATAATACAAAATCATCAGCAATACCATATACACCAGTACCATCTCCATTAAATGCAATCACAAAATTATCTTGTGTCGTATAGTTATACACAATCTGTTCATTACTTAGTTGAATGTTACACGTTCTATTACAAATAAAATAACCGATGACATTATTTCCTTGAAAATCGATGCAATTATAAACAAATGAGAGATTATTTGAGACTGGTACAACAACACTATAGACAAAATCACATGTTGTTAAACTATACTTGATTTCACAGCTAGAACTATTTGTATTTGGGAAATATTCGACATAATATACCAAAGCAAAATTATCAATACTAACTAGAAATTGATCATTTATAGCAATTTTAATTCCATAAAGATCATAATCAGTAGATACTTTTGTATATGTTAATATATTATATATACAAGAGAATAGGAGAATAATTTTGATAGATATCATTGCAACTAAATGAGAAGTGTCGATCTTTTCTAATGATTACTATTTTTCTTTGTAAGTATACTTGTTAATTATTGATGACAATCATACATTCATTTATTCTTCCGTTTTCCTATGTCTATTCTCATTATCTCAATACTGATTTAACATGAATAGTGAGAGAAAAAAAAATGAAACTACTCAATCATAAGTGCTATTAGTATAGCATTTGTTTCTAAAGTCTAATATCATAATTGACAATTCTACGTATACTTTTTCTTTGTTTTTTATATATCATTAAATGTTAGCAAAATTTAATTTGATATTATTTTTCAATCTATTAATGCATATACAGAATATATTTGTGATTGAAGTACTCAAATTGAACTATTGGGCAATGAGAAAAATTAATGAAAATTTATTTTTATCATTTGTAACTATGAACATATAGATTATTTTACTTGAATTAAGTGTAAATGTAAAACTGATTTGTTAAAGATGTGGTTTTGGCTAGTGGGCGATGTAAGTACGAGTACGAATATATATTAATATCATATGACATTGAGAATTTAATAGTTATGTATAGAAGTGTGACGAGCAAAATATTTGTTTCGTATAATGATTGTGAGTGTGAATATCGATAAGGATCATGAATTGATTTAATATTCACATCCTTCATTCAGAATTATTCAATAGATTTCCAGTGTCTTGAACAAAGTATACTTTCTATAAAATCTAATGTAATATTCATAAGATTAACATATATCAGAATATGATAACTATTATGTAGTATTATTTTGAAGAATGTTTAGCATTATATTTTTTATACTCTAGCACACGAAATCAAAAAAACAAAATTAAACATAGATAAATACATTTACTGAACACTTTTTTAACGTACATTTTCATCTGACCGAATAGCTTCTAATATATCCTGGTTCGGTAATATATACTTGTATATATCAGTATACACTTTAAAGTAGCATTCAAACGTATTTTTACTTTAGCTCAAACTAATTCTGTTATCGTACAGTTCTGCTTATCATTTACTAAATATTTCATTTATGACAATACAGATTCAACATAAGCATTGCTGGAAGGTAATGAAAATAAAAAACATACGAGTTTTTTATAATTGATTTTGACAAAGTAATCGGCTAAAACATGGAGAGTTTTCATTGAAAATTTAAAAGACAAAAAAATCTAAAAAGCAGAAAACCTTCAAAAAGTAGAACTTTTCTGCTAAAAGCAGAAGAGGTGGCAACACTGGTGGTTGTATAGTTTTGATCGCCAATAGTGCCGTTTGATATTCCTCGATGAGTGATGAAATATACTGCAAATGTACCTAACCAATGTCCTCCTTCGTAATGATTTTCATCGATAGCTATTAATCCTGCTTCAGCATTTCTTTGACTTAATTTAAGCAGTTGATCATGACGTTCTTTTTGTTGAGTATCAAAAGATAGAACATCAACGATTCCCTCTAGCATCCATGCACGACTAAGACATAAACCAGCTAAATGAATCAGTTTAGGATCTGTCGGATCAGCTATTGATGGTGGCTCGAGACTGACAGGTAGAGTTTCTGTTGGAAGAAATTGATTGAACCATTTTACAAAGTCTTGAGGTTTATTATACATAACACGTCGCATCAAGTCAGCTTCAGCTAGGCCAGCAGAAAGAAAATCTTCACCCGATGGTTCATAATCAAATGGATAGTTTTTATTCGCCAAATAAAATGCAAGTGAACGTTGTTCAATCAATTGTGCAAATGCAGTATTATTCATTCGACGGGCATAATCAAGTGAAAGACCAAGTGCAAAAGCTGTTTGACTATGTTCACCACTACGAACAGGATATGATAGTTTTGGAAGCCATGATGATAAACGCGAGACAATCAACGTTTCTAATGGACGTATATTCTCACGCCATTGATGAATTTCTTCAGAGTTCTAGAAATTTCAAGATAAAATTACATATCAATCTACTATATATCTACATGTTAAGTATAATTATGCTAATTTCTCTACTAAAATTTATCTCTGATTCTCATTGAAATTTCAAGTATTTTTTCGATCTAATATTTTGAAAGATTGATATTTTTTTAAGCCTACTTGTTTTTCTTCGTTTGCCCATTCGTCTAATTCTGTAGTCAATTGTAAAAACCATGCTAAACCATAGGGACGTTCAAAGGTTTGTCGTTGTTCACTACCTATATATTTCATTTCATTCTCAAGTTTTTCTTGAGTAAAACTTTTTCCGAGTGCTTGACGACATTCTACAGTTAGATTTGTATCAATTCGAGCAAGACGAGCCAAAAGCCAATGACCATGAACAGCTGAATGCCAATCATAACAACCAAAAAATGCAGGTGTTAAATCACGGGGAGCCTGAACATCATCATCTGACGAAAGAACATGAGCCAGTTTATTTGGATACTCTCGATGAACACAAGACAGAGCAAGATCAGCAAAATGGCGACGCATTGTAGCGGCATCTTTATTATCAATTATAAAAAGAAATCATCTATTTTTCATTTAATAGATCTCAAAAATATAATCAACGATATTTGAATATGATATGCATAGAACTACTTGTATATTTACCTGTTACTGCGTTATTTTTCTCAATGATTTGTTTTCTAGCAGTGCTTGATGGTGAAGCAATTGTAATAGTAATTATTAATAGAAATAAAAAAGAGATGTATGCCATCATTATATACGCAAAAGAAATGACAGTAACGTTTGACGTTCGTTTTTAAATATGTTGAATAGGCACAATCATAAACCATCATATATATTACTGTAATTTATTGTTTCTTTTTTATCGATTATACATTATCAAAACTTAAACTGTTGTATAACGATTATAAAGTGCAATAAATTGATTACCTGTACCATTTTATGACACGGCGATATATAGCTGAAATATAAATATACTTGAAATAGTAAGCTTCATCTATTTATGATTGTCATTCTTTCATCTGATCTTATTTTATATAGAGTAGAAGATTTTTTTTCTTTTCTTTTATACTGGCAAATATTAGACCATGAAATAGTCAAGTGAAAACAAAAACAGTTTTATCATGATTCATACGATTGAGTGTGAATATAGATAATTCTTCTTGTATCACATTGATCTGACATCATTTATAGATAATGATTATTAGATAAATCATACTATACATGTTTATAATAATTAATTTTCTTCTTTCATAAATATTCATTATCTATTACTTTTAAATTTAAAAGATTTTAATCAATAATTTAGGAATTAAGTCAACTCAAAAACTTAGTTTTTATATTCAGATCATTTATAGAAAAATTATTTACTATGAAAAGAAAAATATTTTTCATTTCATTAATATTAAAATCATAATTATGTAAAATTCAAATAAATATAATCGTAACTACATGAAAAAATATGAATATTAAACAGATTGAATGTAAACAATAAATCATAATATTAACAAAAAAAATATTGAAAGCAAAGTGCAAAATAAAAGAATGAATTCTATATTTTTCGAAGATATGAATATAGATAACCCTGATGAATATTTTATAAGAATGATAGAAATTATAAAGTATATCATAGTGTCAATTTTTCTGATAATTAAACTCTTTGCTTTTTGCATTTATTAAATATTATATTTTGTAATGAATTAAAGCGGATTTGAAAAATATAAACAATCACATAATCATATTATATTTTGGTTTGAAAAACAAAATGTTGCTCTGGCAGATTAATATTTCCATTAATCTGCATATTTTCGTCATTGCAACATGCATTTGGTCAGTGAAGTCCATTTACCTCTTAATAAGTTGTAATAAGTAACTTTTCTCAATAATACGTAGTGCACAACATCGATTTTGTCTTTATAAATATTCTTTTGACAGAACATGAGAGAAAAGAATCATTCAAATATTAGATTATCTACTTTTTCTTAAAGATCATCAAAGAAATGATCGTTTCAAAAAAACTATGTATTTTATTTTTACAGTCTTTACTATTCATGTTAATAACACAATAGACAAGAAATAAATGATAAGTATAATTATATGACATATAAACAATTAATACAGATTTATAAGATATGCAATCATTGATAGAATTCGTCAAATATTCTATATACTCAAAACTAGACTTTTGATCTTATTATGAATAATATTACAAATGGATCGTCATTCTTTAATATTCATCATATTGTTCATATACATATAGATAAGGATGAACTTTTTTATTGACTCATATAATTCGTATTATTGAATAACAAAGTTTTGTAGATCCAATCTTAGTATTAATGAAGATTATATAATTTATAAGCGAGTTTCTAATCTTGAAAACAGAGTACTTGAATGAATCCTAAGTAGAATGTGTAAAAACGTAGTAGATGTTGTGCACTACATACTATCGAAATAAATTCCTTACTACAACTTAACAAGAGGTAAAAATATGAATAAAGTTTATAAAAATATAATTAAAAGTGTGGAAAAAAGTGATCAAGAACCAGAACAATCTATTGAAATACAATTGTCAGAATCAATACTTCTTCCTATGATACCGCTACCTACAACAACATCTTCAAAATCATTACCATTGCAACTACCATCAGTTGTATCTGCATCATATGCAGAATCAAAGCGTATAACACATGTACTCACAACCATCATCTAATAAAACTCAGTTATCATCAACCTTATCATCAGTGACTGATTCCAGGAATACTTAACTACTATGAGATATTATTATTCGTTACTCAACAATATAAACAACGCTTCGAAACGTATAGATACACATAAAATTTTAAAAAATGAATTATTTCAATATTTAAATGGCCAAAAATCAATATCATTAAATAATCAAAATATTCGTATATCAAATGATGAAGAACGTTTATTATGTTTATCAATGCTTGCAACATTTATTCTTCGTCAATTACCTAGAGGTGATTTAGATGATGCAAAAACTGAAATATTACTACAATTAATTCTTGATATTACTGACAGTAAACAACAAAAAGAATTTCGTGTTATATTTCTTGATCGTGGGTATGTAATAAAGTATCACAGTCATCACATACCCACACCCTAATCATTAATATTTGCGTGTAATCTTGAATAATGAATAAAATAGAAAAATATGTAAAGATTTATCAGATTGAGTGTTATATAGAACTTCTACATCATTTTATAACATAATCAAAGATTTTTAAACAGAGACATTCCATTTACTAATGAACCTGACTTAGTTTGAATGTTTCTGACAAACGATCCAATTAATATTAGACAAAATAATATACAAGTTATTCAATAAAATGCGGCATAATTTTTAATGTCTTGTTTTCTTCTCAACGAATGAAAACGAATATAATAAACATTAATCAAGATCACTTTGAATCCATTGAAAGTGTTGCTCTGGCAGACTAGTGTTGTGCCACCAATCCACACAATGTCGTCATCGCAACATGTATTTGATCGGAGAAAATCATTTACCTTGGTAAGTTTGTAATAAGTAATTTTTCTCGATAATCTGTGGAGCACGACATTGAGTTTGTCTTTGCAAATGCCACATCGAAGATGTAGAAAGGAAAGTGAAATGTGTAAACATAATGTAGATGTCGTACTCCAAACATTATTGCAAAAGTTACTTATTTCAACTTACCAAGAGATTTATTTTTTTATTGTGGTCACAAGACAATTAATTAAACTATGGCATCATCATATGAAAATCCAGCTCGTTCCACACAGTATCAAACAACAAAAGAATTTAACAATCTTCAAGCAGATGTCAATCAAGTGGTAGAAATTATGAAAAATAATATGGAGCAAGTTCTTGACCGTGATGCTGACTTAGGTGGACTAGTCGTTCGTGTTGATAGACTAAAAGATGATGCATTTATATTTAGACAAGAGACAAGTAACTTAAAGAAAAAATATTGGTGGAAAAATGTCAAAATGTGGGCTATTATTTCTATTATTGTGATTATTGTTTTATTCATTGTGATTGTTGTTGCGGTTACTCAATCAAATAAAAATAATAATAATGGGTAATCAAAATACTACCGGTACAAAATATAATGAAATCGGAGGATGAATACTCTCCAATGAGGACAATTTTTTTCTCGGTGTATTTCGTTTATTAAAAGATTTCTTTTTTTATGTGTTTCAACGTCTTATCTGCATTCCTTTCGTTAACAAAACACTATATTTGTCCATGTCTTTTATCACTCTTTATGTATATTACGTTTGAAATGATCGTATTTTCATCCAGCTTTTTTTATTTTGTTTTATACCAATGACAATTAATCATTAGTATAGGACTATATTTGTTTGAATTCATTCTTTTTCTTTTTTCAGAAAAAAAATAAAAATAAAAGAAATTCTCCAACAACTTTTAACAATACAAGAAGGTATTGAATTTGCACAAACTACTGAAATGATGATGATGATGATGATTTATTATTTGAAGATGAAACAGTATTTGAACGTATTTTTGCATTAAAAGAAATGTTTCTCGAAAATGTTCAAAATTCTGTTGCCAAATTAAATCGTGCAGTAATTAATACATCAAAATTTGCTCGTAGTGCAGGTCATACAACAACTAGGTGGGTGGGTTGGGGTGGGGGTGAGGAGACGATATAGATCCACACCAACACCCACCCTAGCATAAACGAAACTAAATCGAATGTTAAAGATTTTGTATGAAAATAGTTATTATCAATAATGTTTCTCTACATCATCAAAAGAATTCCTTTTTCGCGCATCATTATAATACGATACATGACCGCAAAGTTTATTAATTCAGTCAAAAACATGAACAAGCATATGTGCAACATAAAAAGCAGCGCTTTTGAACTCAATGTTGCATTTGGAACAATAAAATTCTAGTGACTTAGTATCAGAGCGTTCAGTTTCAGAAGAAGAAGAGGAAAGTTCTGCACCATGACCTGTTGCATTTTCATGTTGTTCAAGACTCATCGGTGTACGAAACGCCCTATTGCAGTCCACACACAAACGTACTTCCCTTTGACTATGTCGCTTATTTTTTTGATGTTGAAACAGTGCTGCAACTGTGAAGAAGCTGTCATCACATAATGAGCATTCAAATAAATGTTGTTTGGCGATTTGATGCTGTTGTAGAGAATTTTCGGTTTCAAATTCGCTAGTGCATTGCGGACACTGAAGTAGATTTTGAGCTGGAACGGATGAATATGGTGGTGAATAACGATCTCTGGTACTATATACGTTTCCATAATCATGATACGATATTGGATTACTTGGTGGAGCTCCTGGTGTAGACGAAACTTGACAGGTGGCGAAAGCGTTGTTCATAGGCGAAGGCTGCATCGGGAAAGTGAAGATATCCCAACTATAATGCTTGTTAACAGTGGCTTTCTACTCCTGTTTAGCTGGCTTATTGTGTATGACGATGACTTCGAAGTGCGCTTGATGGCGCAGATCGGCCAACTTGCCGACAAAATCAATATCACCCGAAATCAACACAATCGTAGCCGGTGATCGATAAGCCCGTTCGAAACGATCCAAATCGAGTAGAATCTGACGATCGGCACTACCTGCTTTCCGACCGGGTACGTGTGTAATGCGCACGTTAGCATGCGCAAGACTGAGTTGATTCGCTTGTGAAATAGTACCGACGTCACAATAACAAGTGAATCCTACTTCTTGCAATTCTGGTGTGATCACGAGCATGTGACGAATTCGTTGAACAATATCGAAAGGTTTTTGGTTGCGCGGTATCTGGACATTTTCCAAGTCCCAAAATATACTGATAACTCTTTCTGTTGATTTATGTTGCTGTTTAGCAGATGGTGAATTATAGGAAGGCTTTATGCTAGAATACGATGTAGAAACCGGCAGAGAGTTTGACACATTAGATAAAACAGGAGGATGTCGATAGCGACAGTTCATATTCGTACAAGAATGAGGCCATTTGAAACATCGATTATCTTGTTGAATTACTTGTCGACAGTGACGAAATCGACAGTTCTTTCCATACTTGCAATTAAGCCCATTCACAAAATACGTACAATCAGTTAACGATTGTAATGAAATCAAGTCGACACTTCCATTGCTAGCCATTTCTTTGTCACTGCGACAGTTAAAGATCTAAACGAGAAGGTTTCTTATAGCTTTTCACCGCGCTTTATATTGTAGCTCACGTAGTTATATCTCCTGTTTAGACATTCTTACTGTGTCCTTGTGATAACAACGGACAGATATCTTCAAAATTAATGAAAAAAAAAGATATGCAACATTCTGTCATCCAACAGAACAGAAAAGGATGACTGCTTGAAAGTGCGTGTCGCGTATTTTTTTCAGTATCATCGTTACATATTACATCTCCATACTCATCAAGTGTATGACAATACACAAGCTGGATGGTAGTGTTGATATTTTTCTTGCTTACGAAGAATTAAAATTGTATCATTTTCGAAATCAAATAATTGATTTTGCGAATGTGGGTGTGAGGTGGATGTGGATATTACTATCGATTTTGGTCTCGTCTTCATCGTCACCCACACCCTCCATGCGGACCCCAACAGTTTTCAGTCAGAAAGAGCAAATTTTCTATCAAGTTGTAGTAAAAAGGTGAGAATTGTGTAAAGGACATCACTACAGATAAAATTAAAAAAAAGATTGTTTTTTCCTATCGTTTTCTCATGATGTTTAAAACTATAATAGAAGGCTCCGAGCTTTTTTATTTTGAGGGGAAGAGAGTTTACAATGTTGCATTATCGATGTTCAAATCAAAGACGCTGATATCATTAATAAGTTAGACTAGCATCCTTCGAGGCGTATCTGGAAGCACGGGAATAAATTCAAAATCGCGTGAGACCTGAATAAAATATAGGAAATACAGGATATATAGGACGACTACGAAGCCTGTTGTATGATCTTTGAGTGAGGTTTATAAACATTTTTGAATACCCTTCGCGGAAGCCAGCAGTTTATGCTGGAAATGGCTTTTTCTTTTTGTTCATTAAGAAAGAGTGCAAATGACCTTTTTAAGCAAAAATCAGAGGAAAATAGTGCTCTCTTTTATTAGAAGAAATAGAAATAAGAAAAAAATTCACAAACATGCAATATTTGATTGTTAGTCCTGATGATTTTCTTGCCACTTGTTGTTGACAAGGAGCATGCGATCTTATCATCATCTTTCTTGATTTGTAATTCATTTCTGAGCATTTGCCTCTCATGTGGACATTGATTCAACGCTACCATGAAATCATTCCATTGCACGAGAAAATTGGGTGTGGGTGTGGTTGTTGGTGGGTTATTAGTTTGCGATACGAATAACACCCTCACCCTTTACAAAAACGTTATGTACTATAATTGATATTGACATGTATTTGGGCATTCGTTTTCTTCTCTCTACTTCAGCAAATATGTCTGACACTTCTTTAGAATAGCCACGTGCATCTTCAAGATCATTTTTACTATCACTGTTATCGTTCGAACTCTCCGATAAGTTAAAATGTTTGTTGTAGTTGTAGTTGTTGTGCTTGTTTTTGTAGTATGATCTAAATTAATATATATGAGAGACATATAAGAGATATTACATTGAAATAAATATATTGGTACCTTTCGTTTCACGTCAACCTTAGGTACGCTGTTTTTGGTGTGTTGTTGATTAGTCAACAATGGAACTAAATTCATATTCACGAGTCGTCGAGAAAATGGCAATATAGACTACAATAGCAAAAAGAAACCACATTGGCAAATACAAAAAGAGTGTTTAACGAATAAGATCCATCACTTACTTGACCATTTCCTTTTAGTTCTAAACCAGTCGATTTGTTCCATTCATTTACATATTTCATCTACAAATACAAATTAAAAAATAACTGTTTTCACTCAATAATATAAAATTTCAATTTCACTTTGGAGTCAAGTCTGGTTGAGAAGCATTTGTTAGCCATATATGCCATTAGTAAATAGTTGAATAAAAACTTAAGTGTTGTAAAGATCTGAAAGAGAAAATTCAAAATCAAGAAATACTCTAAATGTATATGTATAAATAACACGAAGAAAAGAAATAGAAATATAAAAAGAATATGCATGATGCTCAAAAGCAGACTACAAATAAAACAACTAAGATTAGTAAACATATTTAGTTACCTGTTGTCGTTTGTTCAACTACAGTTAACGTTCTTTTCTCTTATTTCCCTTGTGTCGGCTGGACTTGTTACATGCAGCTGCTTGCTGTTAAAAATGATTTACACATCTCTACAAATAGAAAGAATGTTGTAAATAAGTTAAAATTGAACGAAGTGGTTTGGTGAATTGCATTTGCTTACTTACTATTAGATCTCATTGAGAGGATTGGATTGATATATAATTCACCCATATGTCTGATGCAGTTGTTGAAAAAGATCATTTTGAAATATCTAGAAAGGCAAAGAATTTTTGTTTAATTAAGAAATTAATGAATAGAAGAATTGTGTGAGTTATTCTTTGTTACTTAATTTTAGATTTTGTGAAGAGCTTCCGATTAATGTATAATGGAGGGTATATATAGTATTGATTTGTTTAGATAAATGATGTCGAATTTCCCATTTTTATGTATCACGAGTTATCATATCATATGATACATCTGGGTTGTGGGTGTGGGTGGGTTATTAGTTTGCGATACGAATAACACTCACACCCATCCTAGATCCGCCACTGATCATTACATATTTATCATTTGTCCTGTTCTTTTTATCAGATATTTTTCTTAAAGTATATTGTGATGGATATCTTATCGTGTATATTCCAATAACAAAAAAGAATCGAATGAATATAAATGAAAAAACAATAAGAAGACGAACGCATATGAATGCAAAAACAAAAAGGAGTGAAGCATACCATAAGCACATATCATCACGCGTAAGCTATATCATAAAAGATGAAACGAAGAAAGAATGTATATATGATATAGAACGAAGAAGAACACGAGATGAAATGTATAAAATATTCAAAATATATCGAAGATAGAGTAGAATGTATGTGTGTGAGAAAGAGGAAAAGTGAGAGGAGTATGAATGCAAACAGATGCATGACAGAGGAAAGAGAGTATATCATGTCCAGTGAACATGACATATATATGAAATATTATTAATATTAGTTAAATTTCTTATAGTTTTGATAATATCATTTCATAAATTCTTTATTATATAAAAATCAAGTATAAATTAAGTAGTAGAATTATACAACTATAGAAAAAAATTAAGTTCAATAAAAATCATTAATTTAGAAGGACTATCTAGTCTTAGTATTTTTCTTTTCCTTTTATTGAACTTATTTTTTCTCTTGACCAACATTAAAGCGATTTTTTTTCTTATTTAATTAGCTCAAAACATACAACATTTCAAAAAACATAAAAAGTCTAATAGCTTATATTGTGAAAATATAATCTTCATTAAGTTGAATTAATTAAGTCATATTTCAATATTCTCTTCATTGAGCTAGCTTATCGATACTTTTACAAATCAAATAAAAAAATGTTTTTTTTATGAATTAATTCGATAGTTAGGAATAAATCCAACAAAAGAATTTAAAAATTAGTCCATGAATTATTATCAATTAGTGAGTGTTAAATATTCCTCAAAAAAATCAACAGTGAGATTTAAGCTATAGTTTTGAGTCAGTAGATAAAAAAAAGTGATAATCGAATACTGTAAACAATACACATATAACAAATACCGTTTGTCTTTATGATTCTGTGCGCTTTCAGTTGAGAGTGTATAATATACGAGATACTACACTAAAATAAGACTATATCCCTTTAATTGAAGAAAAAGAAAGTCCCTATCTAGAAAAAAAAACAAAAAATGCTTCTTTCATTCTAAAGATAAAAAGGGGAGAATAGAAAGAATGCCATTAATAATAACATTCTTTCAAAGATATATGTGATTGTTGTTCAAGCTCTCGTGTAACGATTTAAATGACGAAGAAAAACGTACTCGTTGAAAAATAAAATTCTTACCTAGGGCGGTCGTTTTGACCATCGGAAACAACATCTTAAACGGCTTAAAACGACTATAAAACGGCGTTTTACTGCCTTATTTTCAGTCGTATTTCACCGTAATGCATCAACCTAGAATACGGGCCATTTTTTCACTAGAAACCAGCTGTCGTTTTCCCCCTTATTTCTATATATTTCTGGGTCGACGGATTACGGCGACGTTTTAGGACCGTTTTTCGCCGTATTTTACCGGTTTGCCACGTTTAAGGCCGTTTACATCGCCGTTGTCTTTGTTCTGGGTAAGTAACTATTTTTTGAATATAATAAATTGATTCATTTTCATTCTTATGCATCTATTTGAAGCAAGTAAAATTTTCAT